TCGTTGAACTGGCAATTAAATTTTGTAGACATAGGTACCTACTTACGTATGACGCGAATTAAAGTATAAAAACATGCGTATTCAACATTCAATATGCAGGAACAAAAATGGTGGTTAGGGCAATCATTTCAAATAGGGAAAATTAGTGAAAATAAATCGTTTTTAGAGAGGATTTCTGTAACTCTACGGCGAAGAATGTTGTTAACCGAGAACTAAGTGCAACGTAAGTGCACCTTGTATGTAGCTTTAAAAAAACAGTTGAACGTTACTCATTCACTATGTTTTGCCTAGAGCTAATTCTACCCTTTTCGTATCCATTAAGTGTATAACGAATCATAGTATCGTTGAGTAATCAAAATTATATTAGTTTACCGCTTGATTTTGAATTTTAGCGAACACCAGAGGCGGTAACGCTCGCCTTATTCCGGCATTATTGCGCGAAAAGGTAGAAGTGCTCTCGACAACGATCAGCTGCAATTTGTGTGAGCCAAGACTTGTAATTTGGTAGAGCGTAATATGTACAATTGTTTTAATATTTGAACAGACAGGGTATTACATACTTCGAAGTTCCATCTACATATATATGTATATTGCCGGGTTACCATTTCGACGGATGTTCTAACATGGTTTAGTCACTTTATGGAAGTAATGGTTTGCATTCCAACCGTGACCGTTCATGTCTTTTAAATTGGTTCCTCGCTGGTACGAGGTACGGTAATATGAGAGATTTTGGTGCCAGCCATGCTGGATCCACCTACATATTATGTATACATATAGGTATACCATCGAAAAGTCTAAGGTCGAAGCTTATTCGTGATGTCTCGAAGGCCTCGAGCACTCTTATCGAGGAGTGGTGGATTAACGTGCACGCCTTTGATCTCGCCGGCTGGCCTTATCTAATCGTTTTCCTTTCTCCCGTCCCGTTCCGTCCCGGCCCGTTCCCTTCCATCTCCTCCCTCTCACGTCGTTTCCCTCCGTCCCGTTTCGTCTCATTTTGTATTTCGTATATACGTACGTATAATACATAATCGACCCGAATGCCACGTTGAATTCACACCATCGCCCGATACGCTCGGCGGCGCCCTTTGCCATTTTTTTTAAAACTTGATTCGTCGCTGATTCCTGCTCTCTCGTCGGTTCACTGAATGTAGGGGAAAGTCTGCGTGTACATGTATTTACCTATTATTTGTACATATCACTATTAATATAGTTAGGATTAGAAATATAAACAAATGAATATTCTTTTGTGACAAGATACAGAACCTAAATGGAAAAGTTTCGAATTCATTTGGTACTACGTACATAATAGTAGAACGCCATTCTTTAACGTTAATTACTCTAAATGTATCAAATTTATTGAAAATATGCATATCCTGCATCTGTTAATGTCTAAATTCCACAAATGTTTACCATAACCAAAATTTTGTAACCACAAAATCTCGTTTACACCTCAAATATCGTATGTATGTACCTATTTAGGCATCTTTTCGATTTATAATATTCTTCGTACTTTTTTTAGACATACTCGCACATTTTTCTGATGCCTTTATGTTTTGAGCTCATCCGTTACATTCATGCTTATATTTTATTTGCAATACAGTTAAAATTAATTTGGACTATAGTAACATTGTGCGTAAAAATACGAATAGCAGCCTTTTGTGACAGTAAAATGATTGATCGACAGAAATGTCTACAATGATTGAAGTGACATTATATTATTAAATTTCACTCGATTGTACGGAAATATTTGGTTAAAAAACGGTAATGCTTTCAAAAGTGTTAGCTGCGTTTAACCGAACGCTAGAGTATCGAAATAATTATTGTCCAATTTTAAGAATCAAAACGAAATCTAAGACACAAGATACAAACATGAAAGAATGAAATCACAAAAAAAGGACTTGTTCATAATACATATTTGAGACTATTCAGAAATATTTGTCAGTTTAGAGACAATTTTACAGAGTGCATATGAAAGAAAGAATAAAATTTCGTCTAAAATTCGTATGAAAGACTATCTTATATGTACAACTCGAGTAAAATAATTAAATTGCCGTTCGTAATGTATGCATATCTTTGTATAAGAAATAATCGTACTTACATGAAACATTTATGAATTGTTAGAGAACTTCAATTATGCGAATATCTTTTCTTTTGATCAATCAATAATAAATGGGTAAAAATCGGAGATGAAGTCGTCATAAATTTTTGCTACATTTGCGCTCCCGAACCACACCTCTGAATCAGAGTCTGAATACTTCAGTGTACATCTATCAGTATGAATGTTACATATAATATTAGATTTAGATTATGGCTCAGCAGCTGCTCGTGTATTCACAGTAGTACAACCAACATTTTTATGGATTATTTTGTGAGTTATCTTATTCTTCATAGAAACAACAATACAAGCCGCCGACTCCATTAAGCTATTTAACATCATTTTCAGATATGCCACAAAATGTTAAACTAAAAAATTTTCGCTAACTCTCACTTACCTAATCTTTCATAGGGAGACCGGGGCAAAGTGGACCTAAAAAAGTTTAAATCAGAATACAATTTTTTTTTTCAATAAAAATGTGTACGAATAAATTCATAATATAATGTAAACATTACTATTGATAAATTACGAGTAGCAATACTTCAGACAAACTTGAAATATTTTAAAATTCAACTTGAAAATAAAACGCCAAATGGCTCACTTTACCCCATGCGTGGGGTAAAGTGAGCTACTATCTGGGGTGAAGTGAGCTGACATAAAATATGACTTTTTACTCGTAACCGGCGTTGTCTCATTTTTGTATCTTAAATAATTTTACATCGTCAAGCCTATTTAACTTATTTCTTATATATATATATATATATATATATATATATATATAT